TTTCTTTTTTAACGTTTACGAGCCACCCAGGCGCCCCTCACTTAGCATAATGTTTCAAAGTTTCATCGTGTCGTAGCATGTATCGCAATTTCGTTTCTTTTTGGGACTAGTAATCCATTGCGTGCACACACCACGTTTTCTTTATCCAGTTCATCTGCTGATGGGCATTTGGTGGCTTCCAACTTTTTGGTGGTTGAATAGGACTGCTGTGAACATGAGTGCATATATATCTTCTCAAGACCCTGCTATAGATTCTCTTGTATATTTACCTAGAAGCGGAATCGCTGGGTTGTATGGTGATTTTATGTTTAACTTTTTAGGAACTGCCAGCCAGTCGGTGTCTTTTTAATATAAAGCTCTTCAAGTTTATTTATACCTACAGTCCCCGGTTCCTTTTGCTCTGCTTAATGCACACATGAATTGTCAAGGGAATACTGCAGATGTGAAAGCGTTTTGCTCTGTTTAAAGGAAAGAACCTTTACAGATCTCGAGATAGTAGAATGTTTTGAATGTGACCATGGAAAACAGGGTCAACCCAGATGATTGAAACTTACACATGATTCCAGAACTCTTAACATCTTATGACGGTTTCAACTTTGACCTTCTCCCCAAACTTAACGGAGGTAAAAATTAAATGAATGGATTTATAATTGCTTTATTATGCTTGTCCCATTTAACCTGAAGTTGGAGACAGTGGAGGGATCCCAAAGACTGATTTTCCTTTTTTCAAATTTTTTTTAATGTTTATTTATTTTTGAGAGAGAGACAGAGTGTGAGTGGGGGAGGGACAGAGAGAGAGAGAGGGAGACACAGAATCCGAAGCAGGCTCCAGGCTCTGAGCTGTCAGCACAGAGACCGATGTGGGGCTCGAACTCACAAATCACGAGATCATGAACTGAGCCTAAGTTGGACACTCAACCGACTGAGCCACCCAGGTGCCCCGGAGACTGATTTTCCTAAGCTGGATTCCTTAGCTGGATTCCTCCATCCTGGGTGGTTGAAAGGAGTTCTGTTGTTCTGTCACCTAGGTTCGCTGAGCTAACCAGTCTTGAAGGAATTATAAAGAGTCCTTCAGTTATTTGGGTTGATTTTGTTCAGTGCTTAGGAGCTCTGCCGTGGGTGCCAGAGAGAGGCAGGGCAGTGGATAAAAGATTGCTTTTTGGCCACTTAGAGTTCCCTCATTAATGATGGGAAACAGTCCTGCTCCCCTATGGAGACTTCGGAGTTCACGTTCATAGTCCATGAGGAACAGGAAAAAGATAGAAGACATGTATAAAGTAACCCCTCATCCAAAGTAAAAGGATGTAAATTGTTTCCAGTGATAAAGTCCAACTGGTTAAGTCAGGAAAGTTCCGGTCAGACTGTATTTGCTTTTTTTTTTTTTAAGTTTTTTTTTAAACATTTATTCATTTTTGAGAGTGAGAGAGACATAGTGTGAGTGGGGGAGGGGCAGAGAGAGAGGGAGACACAGAATCCCAAGCAGGCTCCAGGCTCCGAGCTGTCAGCACAGAGCCCGACGCGGGGCTCGAACCCTCGAAGCGTGAGATCATGACCTGAGCTGAAGTCGGATGCTTAACCGACTGAGCCACCCAGGCGTCCCAAGACTGTATTTGCTTTTATGGGCCGCTCCATATTCTTGTAGGAGGGAGGTGGATACAGGTGAAGACGTGGCAGTCACGTGAGGCTTCCTAGGAGAGAGAAGCTTGGTTACCACGTCTCCCTCCTCCGTGCTCATGTCAAGGTGTGCGGGCTGTGCTCTCTTCCAGCCAGCGTCCCGTGCTCCGTGGCCCCAGAAAAGTCAGTGTGTAGGCCTCAGCCACCCCAGGTCCGACGTACATTCTCCCTGGACACCATCCTCAGCTCCTACCTTCTGGGCCAGTGGCCACGAGATGCTGATGGGGCTTTCACCTGCTGTACCAATGACAAGGCCACCCAGGTAATGACGCGCTCTCCTACTGGGATAAGGATGGGGGGAGGGGGCTGGCTGAGGAGGCTTTTTGTCTGCTCACCAGCTCTGTCACTGGAATGAGCTGTCCTGGGGTTTGGCTGTGAATATGCATCACGTAGCTGTTCATCATCTGGTATTTACCAGGTTGGTTTCCTCCGTGAACTTAACGTGAGAACAAGTTTGCATTCCACCTGGCTGGTGGAAGAGAGAAGTCAATCTGGGTTTTCCAGTTTGGCTGTGAGTCTTCGTGTGTGGGTAAGCAAGACTTGACTTTGGACTCTGTTCTGCGTTCTAAAAAATGAGATTTTACCTTTCTAAACTTAAGCAGGCCAACATTCAGCCGAGTTTGCATTCCCCAGACAACTGGAAGAGGTGGCCAACAAGTGTGGTGAGCTAGGAGAGATCCCCGGAGCAGTAGGAGGGGAAAGTTCTCAGATCATGAAGACTTGACCCCTTGCCAGCAGCCCGGTGGGATTTCAGTGGGCCCATTCAGGTCCTTTGAAGCCCAGGTCCCCTCTGTCAGTCGTTGTCTTCCTGACAGTCTTTTCAGTAGGAATCCTTAACTTGGAACGAATCTGTGCAGATCACCCAGTCTACTTGTCAGCTTTTGAATAAGATAGTGTTCACCCGAGCAAGGAATCATCTCCCATGTGAAGTTATACAAAGATATTTCTTGTTTTTTTAAGTTTTGTTTTCTGCATTTTTAAAAATGTTTATTGATTTTTGAGAGAGAGAGAGAGAGAGAAAAGACAGAGCTCATGCGCATGAGGCGCAGAGAGCGACGGGGACAGAGGGTCCAAAGCGGGCTCTGTGCGGACAGCAGAGCGCCCGAAGCGGGGCTCGAACTCAGGAACGTCAAGATCATGACCTGAGCTGAAGTCGGACACTTAACCGACTGAGCCACCCAGGCGCCCGTGTACAAAGATACTTCTTAACCTGATTCGGGACTTCACCATGCTTAGCAGTCGTCAGGAGTCAAATCGTTTCCATTTTGATGCAGTTCCTCAGGAAAGAGGAAACCG